AGCACGAATAATTAAAAAATGAGATAATATTTAGAGTATATACCATGACAATGCCAAGTGATATGATTGTGTGCCTCACGAAACAGAAAATTAAATAAAGTGAATACATCATCCAAAAAATGTTTATTTAGAATTAGTGACTTAGTTTATAAGGGGAACCAATAGCATGAAATATGCGTGTAAGCGGTGTGCTGCAATATTGTAGTGTACAGTACTTGAATCCATACTGTAGTACCATTTGTTTTACAATGACCTCACACTTGTGTTCGCTGATAATGTTAAGTTATCTACAAAATACATAATCTAACAGAATTTGAAGACAAACAAAATATTTTCTATAAGCTATAAACATTGTTACAAGAATGAACGACACGATTAACACCATACATTTGTGATACGATTAAAGTACAACAAAAAGTGTGCCATATATCATTAGATCCGAACTATTACCTTGATTTAAACTCCGTGTGAACGATCTTTGTCTTCGTGATCATACTTTCATGTTACTGTGAGGAAACGTAAACAATGCAAATAAACTTCGGAAGGCGCTGTACTACTATACTTGGAGTATGGTGAGTATACTGGTATCGTGTTTCACCTTCGTAAAACTACCAAAACTGAGTACAGTACCTGCACACCCTTACATCTATCAAAATACCTGTGACCACGTTAAACCAAACAGATAGCTTAATAAAATAAAAAATAACCTAACTTAACCATCATGTGAAGGTGCAATGTAAATATTGCAACAAACAACAGCTGTCAGTAGGTGAAAAAGTTTTTGTTTAATTCTCTCAACACAGCACTATCACGCACCTATATTTCTCTCAACACAGCACTATCACGCACCTTTATTTCTCTCAACACAGCACCATCGTGCACCTTTATTTCTCTCAACACAGCACCATCGTGCACCTTTATTTCTCTCAACACAGCACTATCACGCACCTTTATTTCTCTCAACACAGCACTATCACGCACCTTTATTTCTCTCAACACAGCACTATCACGCACCTTTATTTATCTCAACACAGCACTATCACGCACCTTTATTTCTCTCAACACAGCACTATCACGCACCTTTATTTCTCTCAACACAGCACCATCGTGCACCTTTATTTCTCTCAACACAGCACCATCGTGCACCTTTATTTCTCTCAACACAGTACTACCACACAACCTTCATTTCTCTTAACATAGCAATACCACGCATACTGTGTATTTATCCTAATACAGCACCACCACATACATTTGCTTATCCTAACACAGCAATACCACACACATTTGTTTATCCTAACATAGCACCACCACACACATCCTAACACAACACGACCACAAACATTTGTTTATCCTAACACAGCAATACCACACACATGTGTTTATCCTAACATAGCACCACCACACACATTTATCCTAACACAACACGACCACAAACATTTGTTTATCCTAACACAGGAATGCCATACACATTTGTTTATTCCTAACATAGCACCACCACACACATTTGCTTATCCTAACACAACACGACCACAAACATTTGTTTATCCTAACACAGCAATACCACACACATGTCTTTATCCTAACATGGCACCACCACACACATTTATTTATCCTAACACAGCACCACCACACACATTTGTTTATCCTAACACAGCAATACCACACACATGTGTTTATCCTAACATAGCACCACCACACACATTTATTTATCCTAACACAGCAATACCACACACATTTGTTTATCCTAACACAGCAATACCACACACATTTGTTTATCCTAACATAGCACCACCACATACATTTGCTTATCCTAACAAAGCAATACCACACACATTTGTTTATCCTAACACAGCAATACCACACACATTTGTTTATCCTAACATAGCACCACCACATACATTTGCTTATCCTAACACAGCACGACCACACATATTTGTTTATCCTAACACAGCAATACCACACACATTTGTTTATCCTAACACAGCAATACCACACACATTTGTTTATCCTAACATAGCACCACCACATACATTTGCTTATCCTAACACAGCAATACCACACACATATGTTTATCCTAACACAGCAATACCACACACATGTGTTTATCCTAACACAGCAATACCACACACATTTGTTTATCCTAATGTAGCACCACCACATACATTTGCTTATCCTAACACAGCACGACCACACACATTTGTTTATCCTAACACAGCAATACCACACACATTTGTTTATCCTAATGTAGCACCACCACATACATTTGCTTATCCTAACACAGCAATACCACACACATATGTTTATCCTAACACAGCAATACCACACACATTTGTTTATCCTAATGTAGCACCACCACATACATTTGCTTATCCTAACACAGCACGACCACACACATTTGTTTATCCTAACACAGCAATACCACACACATTTGTTTATCCTAATGTAGCACCACCACATACATTTGCTTATCCTAACACAGCACGACCACACACATTTGTTTATCCTAACACAGCAATACCACACACATTTGTTTATCCTAATGTAGCACCACCACATACATTTGTTTATCCTAACACAGCAATACCACACACATTTGTTTATCCTAACACAGCAATACCACACACATTTGTTTATCCTAATGTAGCACCACCACATACATTTGCTTATCCTATCACAGCACGACCACACACATTTGTTTATCCTAACACAGCAATACCACACACATTTGTTTATCCTAATGTAGCACCACCACATACATTTGCTTATCCTAACACAGCAATACCACACACATTTGTTTATCCTAACACAGCAATACCACACACATTTGTTTATCCTAATGTAGCACCACCACATACATTTTGCTTATCCTAACACAGCAATACCACACACATTTGTCTATCCTAATGTACCACCACCACATACATTTGCTTATCCTAACACAGCAATACCACACACATTTGTTTATCCTAACATAGCACCACCACATACATTTGCTTATCCTAACACAGCATGACCACACACATTTGTTTATCCTAACACAGCAATACCACACACATTTGTTTATCCTAATATAGCACCACCACATACATTTGCTTATCCTAACACAGCAATACCACACACATTTGTTTATCCTAACACAGCACGACCACACACATTTATTTATCCTTACACAACACGACCACACACATTTGTTTATCCTAACATAGCACCACCACACACATTTATTTATCCTAACACAGCACGACCACACACATTTGTTTATCCTAACACAGCAATACCACACACATTTATTTATCCTAACACAGCACCACCACACACTTTTGCTTATCCTAACACAGCACGACCACACACATTTGTTTATCCTAACACAGCAATACCACACACATTTGTTTATCCTAACATAGCACCACCACACACATTTATTTATCCTAACACAGCACGACCACACACATTTGTTTATCCTTACACAACACCACCACACTTATTTATACAAAGTACACAAAATATTTTTTCAGGCAGAAGAAGACATACATCTCCCAGATTATCTTATTGTCTATAAATAAATGCAATGATTTGTGTGACAATAGCATGATGGATAATCGTAATAATGGTAGTTATAGTAAAGTGCTTCTCTACATTGAACAATAATGTAAATGAACATAATTATTAGCTTCTTAATATTTTAGTGTTAACCCACATAATAATAAGGTCTAACAGTAGCAGCACTAATGTTATACGCGGGAGAAAACTCTAACTTTAATGTGAGTCTTCACATCTATATATATATATATATATATATATATATATATATATATATATATATATATATATATATATATATATATATATATATATATATATATATATATATATATATATATATATATATGTATGTATGTATGGGTGTGTGTGTGTGTGTGTGTGAGTGTGTCAGTGCGTGTGGGTGTTGCATTGAATAATGCTAACTGCTTAACAAGGTTTATAAACCAAACATTTGGTGAACTAAGATTAACAGGGTTGTTTCCCCACCAACTAACGTTAATTGTTCAAAATTTGATAACCTAACTAGCATTAGATTACACGAGGAAATACCGAGAAAATATAAACAATCAATATACTGAGGTTAGGTTTGCTTAAATTAGGTTAGGTTAGGTTAAGTTAGGTTAGGTTTGATAAGGTAAGGTTAGATTTGGTTATATTTGTTTAAGTTAGGTTTGGCTTGGTTAGGTTAGATTTTCTTGAATTAGGTCAATTCCAACATGGCAAAGAAAATATACAAATAATATTAAAAATATAAATTCCTCTAAAAAAGACTACAGTTTTTGCTGAATAGGGAAAACATACTGTCTTTACTGCTATAGTCAATGGAAATTAAAATGTACATGTTAATATTTGATCTGTTTCATGTCAGGCGTCGCTTACTATCATAAAATAGCAAAATTATATCTAAAGTCGGTTAGATTAGGTTAGATTTTGCATGAAACTTTTTCTTCAGATATTTTTATGATCTAAATGGTCACATATGGCCAGACAGATGTTTCCAAAAGGGAGAAATACACAGGAGTTATCGCTAATCACCAATTATCTCTGTTTAGCGTAACACACACAGACACAAACACACACACACGTATATATATATATATATATATATATATATATATATATATATATATATATATATATATATATATATATATATATATATATATATATATATATATATATATATATATATATATATATATATATATATATATAATATTAGTCTCTGATGCTTTTGGCCTTCCGTGGCTGTCAAAAGTAGTTGGGCGTAATTAGTGAATTATGTAGTAGTACGGTAATAGTGAACAGTCGTAGCCAGTGGCCCAACTGGTGGTCCTCCCAAGTGTCACAGTTTAACACTTGCTGACCTTGGGATTAATAATTATTTTATTTTTACAAGACCCTCACACTGCATGGTCGATGTAGAGACTAACAGGACTTTCCTTCCTTTCTTCAAGAGGAAAAGGCAGAGGAAGAATGTAAGTAAGTTCCTGGATGACTTATATGGTTCTAAGTCCCCATCCTCCACGGCTTAATTACCGTCTTTGGTCCTCTTCTCCGTCTTACTGTCCATTAACCACGGTTCTTTTTTTCTTACTTTCTTTATCTTCAATAAATTATCTCATTATTCTCACTTTCATTCATCTTTCGTTTTTATTGAACTCTAATTTATTCTGCCGTACCTTACTACCTCAGTACTCAGCCACCTACTACACCACCTACCTCAGTACCCAGCCACCTACTACACCACCTACCTCAGTACCCAGCCACCTACTACACCACCTACCTCAGTACCCAGCCACCTACTACACCACCTACCTCAGTACCCAGCCACCACTACACCACTCCCCAGCCACTCAGCACCAGCCACCACACCCACCACCTACCACACCTCAGCACCCAGCCACCTACTACACCACCACAGCACCCACCCACACCACCCACCTCAGTACCAGCCACCTGTACCACCACCCCAGCCACCCACACACCACCCCCCAGTACCCAGCCACCCACTACACCACCTACAGCCACCTACTACACCACCCACCAACCCCCTACTACACCACCACCTCACCCAGCACCCACCACCCACCCCAGTTACTACACCACCTACCTCAGTACTCCAGCCACCTGCTACTACCCAGCCACCTACTACACCACCTACCATCACACAGCTACTTCCTAACCTCACAGCTTTTAATAATCCTAACAATTTTCTTCATTTTGGAAATACTGGAAGTACATATGATTTTAAATATATATATATATATATATATATATATATATATATATATATATATATATATATATATATATATATATATATATATATATATATATATATATATATATGATAAGATAAATCCATATATATATATATATATATATATATATGTATATATATATATCTAGGTATATGATAATCATTAAAGAAAACAAAGTCAGGTTTCAGTGTAATTCACACTCTGAAGATGTAATCAGAGTGTGACCTTCTATATATATATATATATATATATATATATATATATATGACCCACTTGCATGTCTTTTTCTCTTTTCTTAGTTATATGACATTTTTACCTATTAACCTAATTACCACCCCTCTTAGAGGTAGCGAAAACGGGGATCAGGGCCATTGGCCACAATGATAATATAATAATTGCACACTTACCTCACATTTCCATTTGTGTGACAGTTACAAAGTTGTAATAAATTTGAATATTTTAAATATATGTAATTGATTCTATTACATGTATACTGGTATTGTGTATTGCATGTACAAAGTTAGTGTATATCCCCTTAACAGTTATGTTACATTACTTGTATACCATTGAATAAAATTTGTTCAATAATTGAAATGCCATGTAATTAATACATGGCATTTACACACCAGTAGCCTACGGTATTTACACAGTTGAAGACTATGTTATTTACACACCAATTAGGCCATGGACTAACACAGTTATCTGACACTAACACTTATTTAATACTAACACAGTTGCTTGACACTAACACTGTACCTCGACGCTAACACAGTTACTTGAAACTAACACAGTTTCTAGACACTCACACGTTTACTCTCCACTGACACTTGACACTAACACATTTACTCGACACTAACAGTTATTTGACAGTAACACAGTTACTCGAAACGAATACAGTTGCTCGATACTAACACATTTACTTGACATTAACACAGTTATTTGAAACAGACATAGTTACTTGACAATAAGTTAATTACTTGAAACTCACACAGTTACTTCACACTAACACAGTTACTCGACACTAACAGTTACTTAACAATAACACAGTTACTTTGAATCTAGCACAGTTACTTGACACTAACCCTGTCACTTGAAACTGACAACTACTAGAATCTAAAACAGTTAATTGACACTAACACAGTTACTTGAAACTGAAACAGTTACTTGACACTAACACAGTTACTTCAAACAGATATAGATACTTGACAATAAGATAATTGCTTGAAACTGACACAAAAACTTGACACTAACACAGCTCCCTGAAATTAATAATTACATAAATCTAACAGAGTTACTTGACACTAACACAGTTACTTAACACTGGCATAGTTACTTAACAGGAACATAGTTACTTAACACTGACATAGATACTTCACACTAACACAGTTACTTAAACCTGACATAGTTACTTTACACTAACACAGTTACTTAATGCTTACATAGTTACTTGAAACTAACATAGTTACTTGACACTAACACAGTTACTTGACACTAACACAGTTACTTGAATCTAACACAGTTACTCGACACTAACACAGTTACTTGCCACTAACACAGCTACTTGCCACTAACACAGATACTTAACACTAACACAGTTACATGACAACAACACAGTTATTTGAAACTGACACTGTTACTCAACACTAACACAGTTATATGCCACTAACACAGTTACTTGCCAATAACACAGTTACTTGACACTAACACAGTTACATGACAACAACACAGTTATTTGAAACTGACACAGTTACTCAACACTAACACAGTTATTTAACAACACAGTTAATGGAAACTGACACAGTTACTTGACACGATCACAGTTACTTGACTCTAAAACAGTTACTTGAAACTGACACACTTACTTGACATTAACATACACACTTGATGCTAACACAGTTTCTTGACTCTAACACTGTTACTGGAAACTGACACAGTTACTTGACACAAACATAGTTACTCGACACTAACACAGTTACTTTAAACTGACAGAATTACTTGAAAATAACAGTTATTCGACATTATCACTGTTACTTGACAATAAGATAGTATACTTGAAATTAACACATTTACTCGACATTATCACAGTTGCTTGACACTAACACAGTTATTGGAGACTGGCACAGTTATTTGAAACATACAGTTACTTAACACTAATACAGTTACATGACAACAACACAATTATTTGAAACTGACACAGTTACTCAACACTAACACAGTTACATAACACTAACACAGGTACACAACACTAACACAGTTACTCCACACTAACACAGTTATTGGAGACTGGCACAGTTATTTGAAACATACAGTTACTTAACACTAATACAGTTACATGACAACAACACAGTTATTTGAAACTGACACAGTTACTCAACACTAACACAGTTACATAACACTAACACAGGTACACAACACTAACACAGTTACTCCACACTAACACAGTTACATAACACTAACACAGTTACTCAACAGTAACACACTTACTCAACAGTAACACAGTTACTCAACACTAACACAGTTACACAACACTAACACAGTTACACAACACTAACATAGTTACTCAACACTATCACAGTTACAGTACACAAACACAGTTACACAACACTAACACAGTTACACAACACTAACATAGTTACACAACACTAACACAGTTACACAACACTAACACAATTACACAACACTAACACAGTTACATGACACTAACACAGTTACTCAACAGTTACACAGTTACACAACACTAACACAGTTACACAACACTAACACAGTTACTCAACACTAACACAGTTACTCGACACCAACACAGTTACACAACACTAACGCAGTTACAAAACACTATGACAGTTACATGACACTAACACAGTAAATCAACATTAACACAGTTACACAACATTAACACAGTTACACAACACTATCACAGTTACATGACACAAACACAGTTAATCAACACAAACACCGTTACACAACACTAACACAGTTACATGAGACTAACACAGTTACACAACACTAACACAGTTACTCAACACTAACCCAGTTACACAAAACTATCACAGTAACTCAAAACTAACACAGTTAAACAACACTAACACAGTTACTCAACACTAACACAGTTACACAACACTAACACAGTTACTCGACACCAGCACAGTTACTCAGCACAAACACAGGTACACAACACTAACACAGTTACAAAACACTATCACAGTTATATGACACTAACAAAGTTACTCAACACTAAAACAGTTACACAACACTAACACAGATACTCGACAGTAACACAGTTATTCAGCACAAATACAGTTATTCAACACTATCACAGTTACACAACACTATCACAGTTACATGACACCAACACAGTTACTCAGCACAAATACAGTTATTCAACACTATCACAGTTACACAACACTAAAACAGTTACTCAACAGCAACACAGTTATTCAACACTATCACAGTTACTCAACACTAACAAAGTTACACAACACTAAAACAGTTACACAACACTAACACAGTTACTCAACAATAACACAGTTATTCAACACTAAGACAGTTACTCAACACTAACAGAGTTACATGACACTAACACAGTTACACAACACTAACACAGGTACACAACACTAACACAGTTACATGACACTAACACAGTTACACAACACTAACACAGTTACATGACATTAACACAGTAACATTACACTAACGCAGTTACTCAACAGTAACACATTTACTCAACAGAAAAACAGTAACTCAACACTTACACAGTTACACAACACTATCACAGTTACACAACACTATCACAGTTACTCAACAGTAACACAGTTACTCAACACTAACACAGATACTCAACAGTAACACAGTTATTGAACACTATCACAGTAACACAACACTATCACAGTTATTCAACAGTAACACAGTTACTCAACAGTAACACAGTTATTCAACACTATCACAGTTACACAACACTAACACAGGTACACAACAGTAACACAGTTACACAACACTATCACAGTTACACAACACTAACATAGTTACTCAACACTAACATAGTTACATGACACTAACACACTTACACAACACTAACACAGTTACACAACACTATCACAGTTACACAACACTACCACAGTTACTCAACAGTAACACAGTTACTCAACAGTAACACAGTTATTTACCACTATCACAGTTACACAACACTAACACAGGTACACAACAATAATACAGTTACA